CTCCATTGACCTACGCTTGACTTCATGTTAGGAGGGACTGTTCTTGAGCATGAGGGAAGTAATTGCTGACAATCAGCCAGCTGGATGTCTGGATATTAAGGTGACACAGTATATTTGAGAGAGCTACAAAATACACCTACGTCTTACAGAGGAAGTAGTTACAGACCGCAGTTTTTTTCCACTAACATAGGAGACTTAATTTTCACATTTCCTTCCACTGTGCCTTTTGCAGGGTAAGGCAAATAAGATTTGGAATGGATGGGGAGCTTACTGCCTCTGTGGATTTTGTTGCTTTCGTAACTTTGTTTGTCATAACAGCATGAATTGCAATGGCAACATAATTCAGGAACAAAATAGCGTGTAACACTTAAAATAACGTATAATAAAATATCACAGAATCACAGAATTATAGGGGATGGAAGGGACCACCAGAGATCATCGAGTCCAACTCCGCTGCCAAAGCAGGTTCAAAAATATTGTAAGAAAAGCAGGTACAAAATATTGTAAGAAGTCTTCCAGAGACTTCCAGAACTGTCTCTGAACAGAGACATAAAGTGTAGACTTTGGTATTAATCACCAAGATTAAACAATCTACTATTAGAAAGGCAATCTTTCTGACTTTTTTTTTTTAAATCCTTTTGAAAAATATGAAATTGTAAACTCTCCTACCACCTACTGAACACAGAAAATTTCTTACATTGTTCATAAATTAATGAATACATACATATAGACATATTTATTTATGCATCTATCTATATGTATGCATATAATCAATGAATATAAAGATGTTGCAATTACGAAATAAACAAGAGAGTTTGGCTAAGCAGGTTATAGTAACAAAAAAGAGAATAGATAGAATGCTTACCCATGTCCTAGGCTCACTGCAAAACTCCAGAGGAGGGACCTCCAGAAGAGATCCTTCCCCCCTGGTAGTCAGCTCTTCAATGGCTCTAGCAGAGGTGCAGCCAGGCTCCACCCCTTCCAGCAGCACAGGTGAAGGCAATTCACCTGTGCTCCCATGGCTGATTCATTGCTCACCTCAGGTGATCAATCAGAGGTTCAGGCTGTGATTCAGCAGTTCCCATACAGTACGTGTATGTTTATATACATTTACATGCGTTTGTAAACAGATATGATCACTGTTACCAATTTTTGATACGTTCCCATGACGTTTTCCTTAAAGGCTCAGGGTCTTGATCAGGGAATTACATCAATCTCTATTTGAATTTTAAGTAAGAGGTAATTCTTACCTATCACATTTAGAAACTCAGAGTATAAGCACTGTTCAAAACAAATGAGCATTTAAACTGGTAGGGAAGAATTTAAATGCTTCACAAGCTTTATCAAACAACACAAAACAAAACTTTCAGTTCAATTTATTTTAAGCTAGTATCCCAATTTTTGGGGATTTGCTCATGCAGATCTGGCAAGAGCTTATCACCAACTGCATTGTGATGGGGTTATTAAGGCCCACAGCAGAGGTGAGAAAGTGGGATGTCTCAGTCTCTTGCTTTAGTCACTACAGGCCACTGAATTGAATGCTCTGTCATGAAATGGAGGAGAGGAGAGAGAAGAATCTGACTGATGAGCCAGTAGCAATCCCAATAACAGAAGCAAAATGTAACAACTCCACTGGAGCAGAGATAGGACAGGATGAGCTTCTTTGGCCTTAGGGCTTTTCAATCTGCCTGCTGCTCTCTGGGTATCCAGCACTACCCCCAGGTTAACTACCCCAGATGCCCGGTGTTGACATGGAACAAGAGGCCCTGAACAGGTCTTCCCCCCATCAAATTCAAACAGCAGATGGAGTCCCTCAGGCTCAGACGTGCATTTGACAGCAAGAGTTAGACCACACTAAATTTAATTTGTCCCTAAATCTTTGCTCTCTGTAAGCATGAATCTTCATGAATGATGGTAAAATAGATTATTGCTAGAGGAAAAAGTCTATCTGATTAACAGATTAAACTGAACCATTAGGCTCAAATCAGACATGCTACACACATGTGCTGGTTGACACAGGATGATTTCTGGAGATATTCCTCAAGGCTCAGACACCTGGGCTAACTGGCATCAGCCACGTCACAGCAAATGGGACAGAAACCTCTTCTCCTTCACAGAAAATCATGTCTATGAACAAAAGCAAGAAAGTCTGTACATCACCTCAGAGTTCAATTTTACTGACAGCTTATTAAGTCTTGTGCTTCTACGATGCTGAGAATTGATTTCTTCCTAGGAGAATATCCAGTCCTAGTCTTTGTGCTTAGACTTAAGAATACAAGAAAAACTTCTTATCTTGTTTGCAGTGTTACTGACACAGAAAATATTCAACCAGACCTCCTGCTGTGGGAGAACAGGAATGTAGCTGCTCTGAGGAGGAAGCTGTAGAGTAGAAGGAAAGAAATCAGTAGTAGGATAGAAATTAGGATAGGATAGGATAGGATAGGATAGAATAATAGATGTTGGCAGTCATGGCAGAAGTGATTGTGATGTGTACAGAGGCTTTGTTAAAGCCACAAACATGTATCTGTTATGCTATCTGGCATGTGACAAATGCATTTCAGTCATCCCTGACTTGGGTTGATTTAAAGTGAGAGACTGAGTAGTAAAGAGCTCTGGGCCTCACTATTTCCACTGTGATTCCAACAGGATAGCCAACTTGTGATGCTAGTATTTGTTCTTTTCCTCCCAGGGATAGAATAATTATTACTTTAGGGGGAAAATTATCATTAAGAAATGCAGTGCTTGTTTGGTTGTTTTAAAGCATATTTAATTTTCTTCTTATTCTGAGAATTACTTCAATTAACTGTATGGATGTTAGATTTGTCTGTATCAGTCTCTGTAAAAACAATCTAATAAATGCCCTCAATTTCTCTTCTAGAGTAATCTCATTAGCCTCTAAATGAACAAAATACTTAATTTGTTGCCATAGCAGTGAAATTTAGAGAAGTGGTGACCTGCATAGAGAACCAGAACAAACCTGACAAACATGTACTAGGACTATAAAAAAAATTAGAGATTGGCTTTACTAACTTTAAGAAGCAAGGCGGAAATGTGTACCAGCCTGGTTGAATTAGATGTTTCTCCAATACCTTGCATTTTTTAATTATCTATAATCCTACACTAGTGCAGAACTGTCTACATTAACCTACATTAACTACCTGCATTGCTAAAGTAAAATTACATTGCAGTGTGAGGAATTAGAAAGATGAGCATCAAAAAATAACCTTCTTAAACCTATCAAGGCATCATGGTCCAAAGGATAAGACAACAACATGGCAGACAAGGAACTCAGACCACAGGTTTTAGTTTGCTTTAGTATTTCTGAACTTAAGTAAAAACTTTTGGGAAAAAGCTCTGCTGTGCAAAGCCAGTGGCAAATAACAACAACAACAACAAAAAGGGTGTGAGGTGTGATGTTTTCCAGGAAGGAGGTGGTGAAAATAAATACGTGACATTGAACACTACTGTGATCATTGGCATTTTGCTGTGTGGGGTCCCTCTGTACCACGTTTGTGATCCATGCCAAAGTGCAAGTCTCAGCCAAGAGACAACTAGTGTTGACTTACCTTGCTTATGTCCATAAAGGCTGGCTTACCAGCCAGTTTCAAGTCAGCTCAGTAGTGTCTCCTCCAAATGATGACACCAAATTGGCTTGTTCCAGACAGGAGTCCAGGAGTTACATACAATGAACTGAAGGGAGGATTATCAGAGGCAGGAGCCTTGGTGTAAAACAAGAATTTAACTCAATTGACAGATTAAGGGCACACTTAGAGCAGCCTGTAGGAAAGCTGCTGCACTTTAGATAAGTATGTCCTTATTTTTCAAATCTGTAGGCCCTTAAAAATATTCAAGTGGACATGCTGTGTAATCTATAAAGCAAATTAAAGTCTACTGACTGTTGGATTGATATACTCCAGCTACTTTTTGCAGACCCAATGAGTCTGAATACCACCAACTCTCTTAAATTAATAGAGTGAGCTCGTGCAGAGTATCCATTCCTGAGAAGAGGCAATACAGTGGCTGAGAAGCATCATGGTCACTATCTCAGTGACCATGATAGTTCTATTATCTCAGGTCTGTTATGAGTATTTTACATAAATATGCACTGTCACATACAACTATTACCATGAGACAAACATCCCAACATTTAATTCAAGACAAACCCATTTGTCTTAGTAGGAATTACTGTTGTTATGCTACTATGAAAAGATGGATTTCAGTGGTGATTTATTCTCATGTATGCATTACCTGCGTGCCTACCTGTACCAAGTTGAAAGCTAGCATTGGTACAACTGAGAGAAGTGCAAGCCCTTGGTGCAGATACATGATGAGAAACAAAGCAGGCACTCTTTCTCCAGCAGACTGCTTCCACCTACACCCAGCCTGCTACAACAACCACACCCGCATTAGGGACAACATCATCTTGGACAAGCACTTTATGCTTGGTACTCTCCTTTGGTACTACTACAGCAGTGTGATTCTGGTCTCTCTTTGCATAGCTCTCTGCTTATCCTTTCTCCCAAAGCACAGCACAATTGGGAAAGTCCTGAGCTAGCAGGAAGCCCCAGCACTGTGATTTGAAATCCATCAGCATTTGAAGCCTATAAGTGAAGAGATGTGCACCAAAAAAGCATTATTTTAAAATACCTGTGAAATATAATCCACATTGCTTTTAGGGAAAAATGCTTGAAATGGACTAGAAGCCTGGGAAAAAAAGGTATTTACAAAGAATACTTATATTTCAAGCAGTCCTTTAGGTAAGGAGGTTCTAAAAATCCTTCCTGCTTCAATATAAACATCCCCAAGTACTTATACTGCCAGATGTGATACACTGGATGACCTTTTTATCACATCTCATTCAGTGCAATTCTCCCGTGTCACTCACACTCATTACTCATTACAACCAGGCAAACTCACTATTCATTACCATAATAAAAAGAGACGAGTACAGCAGCTGAAAGATGATGTGTCTTACTGATTTATTTAGCTATTACCAGGTGAGACATGGAGGACAAAATTGGGTGCAGGACAGGCAGGCACACAGAAATGTTCAAAATGCTTTTTTACAAAAGATTCTGCAGAACAGCCTAATTGATGTCAGTGGATATATTCATGGCATGCAAGAGCAGTGTTTCACAGAGCGCTCGCCCGGATTCACTTCAGTTTCTGGCATGGATTTTTCCCTGGATAGGCCCTTATCCAAAACTCATTAAAATCTGTAGGAAAGTTTCCAAATGCATATCTGGGCCTCAGATCAAGATGCTGGATTCACTGACAAAGCTACAGGTTTGGGGAGGAAAAAAAAGACACCACTTTCACATCTTGTTAAATTTCAGACATCGCAAAAGGTTAACATCACAAATTTTTTTCAAAGCAGACATGAAACCATTATTCCTTTATAACACAACATGACATAACAGATTCTACTTACTATGTTTATTTGAAACATAGTCTAGATTTCAAACTATTTATCATTTGAATCATTTTAAACAGCAAGTGTGGCAAAATCTTTCAAATATCACAAATTTAAATGTACAAATTGAAAATGAATTCCTGCATTTGACAATCATTACCAATAGAAAAATATTTATCATGGTAGCAAATTAAATAGGGCAGGGGACACCAAAAGAATACGTCTAAAGGTCAGAGATAAAACTTTCAAGAAAACTGTCTTAAACTCTTAGAGCTTCTGTTTGAGATGAATATAAATGAAAGTACTATAAACATCATTCTTTTGTATTTTCTCTTGTCTGTTAAGCAGAAGAATGGACTCACCACTACTTTGTCTCAGTGCACCTTTAACATCAAGAACTACGTCTACAGTATCTGCAAATGTATACAGCTTTCTGCTCAGTGTGACCTGTCCCACAGGACAAATCACAGTGTGTGAATGCACAGTTTTGCAGAATGGGAGATTTAGTCATATTCTCTATGTGGACCTTCTTTATTTTTCATTCAGAGGCAACACATAGAACTTGAACTCATTTTTCAGTCAATTTGTTTAAAACAGGCCCTCAAGTCCCTGTATTCTCCCCTTCAAGAGATTCCAAGTCAGTGTATTACAGCTTACCGCAGCTTCCAGATCTTAATTTCAGAGGGATGTTTTTTATTCCATTTTATAGCTTGGAAGGTGGTACAGGATCCATCCAGCTGGTCCAAGAACTGCCAGTGAAAATGCTGAGAATCCAATGATTGTCTCCTAAGTGAAAAGAAATACAGTTAAATAAAGCTAAACAAACTGGAGTTCTTCCAGGGTAAGCAGTCTATTGCCAACCAAATTATGGGATATTATTGAACTTCTGCATCTATATTTCCACAGATGCGATGATTGCAGAGGAAAAATAATCCACAGAGGATTAATTTGTATGTTTGAACTAGAAGCATAGTAATCTGTGTCAGTTGAAAAAAAATTGTTTATTCCACACCTTGCACAAGCACACATACACAGGGCGCAATTAAAAGCATTCATAAGAGGTGTCAGATCTTCCATTTTCCTACAGAGTTGATATATTTTGTGCCTACTTATTGGGCTTTTTATGCACATTATCTTTATTGAAGCAATACTATTTGCTTGATAGTTCCTGTAGCATAGCTTTCTACCAGTCATATATGAGAACTTTGGGCACCTACTAACACTGGGAGATTATATAGTAGAGCAGAGAGTTGCTGCTGAAGATTTAATAATTAATTAAATGTCTTCAATAGTCTCAGGGTACTTCTGCTGGAGAGCATAATCAAGGCTCATAAAGAAAATTATAGAATCACAGTTCTAGTTGGAAGGGACCTTAAAGGTCATCTAGTCCAAATCCACTGCAATGAGCAGGAACACCTATAGCTAGAGAGCTGTAAATGAGCTCTCCACAGAGACGGGGTTTTGTCACACGTCTCTCTGTGGGATGCAGTGAGAGCATCCCCATTCTCCCAGAACAGAACTTGCTGTCCAGGAGGTGGTGAAAGGAGATATTTTGTGAGTGTAAAGAAGTCCCTGGGAAGATTCTGGGTTTCTAGTAAGGGTGTGGGGCAGGTCTGAACAAAACCTATGTTGTCCTCACAGAAAAGAGCAGCAAGAGGAAGCTCTTCAGAAAAGACTGAGCCTTAGCTCAAGCTATGCGTGAAGAAAAGAAGTGAGAGCACAAGGCACTTACCACCGGTCCCACTTTCCCCTCTGGTGGAGAGCTGTGGATGCTGTGGCCACTCCAGCGGGCAGGCCTGAGGCGGAAGAGCAGAGATGTGTGGTGCACTGCCCGGACCATTGCTTTATCCCAGAAAGCAGTGTGGGGAATCCTAGGAAGGAAACAACTACTGCTGTGAGAAGCTTCACAGCCCTTTCCTATTTTCTACTGCTCAAAGTCTGTAGGATGCTGAATAGTGGTCAGTCCCACTTGACAGTCAAGCACCTTACCTTTAAATTAGATGCGTAAAGCACCAACATAAGCCAGACTGCAACAGGCAGCAGGTGCGCTGTGGTCAGCAGCAGCAGTGTGTGTGTGCTGCTGGGTGGGAGGGAAACTCTCCAGATCATGCAGGCACCTCCTACAGCTCAGTGATGGGGAGGTGTCTGCCAGCTACTGCTGCTGCACAAAATGGGGAGAAATGCTGGTTTTCAGATCCATGAAGACCTTAACATCCTCCTTTTCCCCATAGTCACTGAGGTTACTTGCACAGAAAACTATATGCTCTGAAATTCCTATGTACTCACGCTTGTCATTCATTTATCACCTTCAGTCTGACCAACAAAGACCAGTCCCTGTCCCCACTGAAGAGTACAATACCTTCCTCCACATTCTACCCAAAATGTTGCTGGTCCAGGTGCAGCCGAGCAGCCTGCTGGGCTACCAGGCTTCCACAGCAGAAAAAGATCACCTGCCTGTATGCAGCCACCTGCCCAGGCCCAGCACCTGTCAGTGTGAGTGACAGAGTGGAAAGTAGGAAAGAAACAATGCCTCCAGCATTACTCACAGGGGCTGTTTGAGTAGTGGCTGTGCAGGGATACATGCCCACTGTGCTCTCAGAGTCATGGTGGTAGCACTAGACCAGAGCTGAGGAGCTGTTAGCCCAGATCTGTGCTAATTTGGCAACTTGGCTTGCAGCTGGAGCTGGTGTATAACTGGTCAGCTTTCACCAGCAGCAATCAAGCATTCAGCAGTCTAAGCACATCTGTGTAAAATGTGCTTCTTTTACATGCAGAGGCTGAGAGGCACAAAAGCAAATAACTCTCCTCTCTGCTACAGTGTACTATTTCTATTCCAACTATTTTTTATAGATGAAATCTGTCTCCTACATGCAGACATGGAAATTTTCATTCAGTTTAGTAAGTGTGCAATGCGTTAGATTCTCTATTCCTTTGACTAAATTCAGTTTATGAATTTCTTCTGTTCTTCCTTTTGCCTTCAATTTCCAAAGCTTACAGCAGATAACTGTCATCCTTCTCCAGGTTTTCACCAAAATATATCCTCAGAACTCACTTCCAAGGCAGCCAGCAGCGCGGTGGTGGTGGTGAGAGCCTCAGCTTGAGTTTTTTGACAACATGCAGAATATGTTAGCAAGGTGTGAAGAGTAAAGAGTTGGCAGTCTACACAAACAAACAATACTGGATCCCTGATTGAGCAGACACGGCTGGTGTGAATATTGTCAGTTCTGGGGTTTTGTTATCTCAGTACATTTGCTTGCTTAATTTTATGGAGGAAGAGACAAAAGGTTTTATTCCTCTAAATCCTCCCCATTCACTGAATGTCTTACCTGAGCAAAACAGGTAGAGAATTTGTCTATAAATAAATATCTGAGAGGCATGTGTAAAGTAACTAGGGAGCAAAAGACCAAATTGCACTCAAAAGCTGTGGTGATATCAGATAAACACACAACAAATAGCCCAAATCAATCAAAACTCCTGAGCCATTCCCTGTAACATGAAGATGTTGTGCTAGGTATATACTCTTGAGCTTTTTAAAATAGTGGTTGTCAGTCTTCTACTCGTTTGGCATTCACATTTTCTACATGGAAAGTGTACTTTTGTCTGTAGCTGTGATAAGAGGCTAAATAAACTCCTTTCATCTTCCAGCTATCTACCTGCACAAACCTCACCAGAATTACTTGACCTTACCAAACTTTGCAATTGTTTTCCGGATCTCTGAAGGTTCACTAGAAAATGAGACAATCCCATTTCTTTAGCTAACCTTCAGACTGCTCAGCTGTACAGTCCAAGCCAATCTTACTACTACTGTAGACCTTTGCACACCATAGTGCTGCACCCTGGCAGTTGTACGTTTTTACATAGCAGTGGATAGCACGTAACAGGCTTTCCCTGAGAAAGACTCTTGGCTCAGAACTGGCCCTTCCCCTTTTCAATTGCTCTAAGTCTCATTGGCTGCATAGTGCTCCAGGCTCACCTGTAATCTGCTTGCATTGCCAGATCTCCATATAGCACATACATGCAGCTTTTGAACTGAGTTTTCCCACAATATACTTAGGTTTGCAGAGCCTCTTGCCAATCCTAAGTTTGTTATTTCTACCTTCAGGAGCAGGAGGACTTTCAGGCTCTTCTGGCTGGCTCCGATTATCCAGCAGCCCTCTTCTCTATTAACTTAAAAACATATTTCTATTTTTCTGGTCCCATAGGACAGCTCCTTTGTTCTTTTCGTATTTAAAGAGTATTTGTTCCTTAGACTGCAACCATTGGGATCATTCAACTCTAAGTTACTGATGTTCTTTCTTACACATTCACAACCAGGACCATTTCCTGACAGGCAGCTGGGAGGTCAGAGCACAGGTGGTACCATACCCAACAGTGTCCCAGCAAAGCACTTCCACGAGACACCCACAGTACAGAACTAATCCTGTGGTGCTGTAGTTCACCTTCTCCTTCCTCTGCTACTTGTGGAAAGAAGCAGATAACTGCATAAAGCTGTTTGAACAGTTTTACGTCAGCATAAAGCCCAGTGTTTATTCTATTTTAAAAAACTGAAGCAGGTGTGCAGGATGTTAATGCTTATTTGTATTTTCTACTGTACTCAGTTTCAGAATATCACTTGAGGGAAGAAAACCTGCTGCACAGATAATTTTTAACTGCCTTAGACATTGAAACTGAAATCCTTATTTCAAAGACAATGAAGATTTATTTTTGCTTACAGGAAATCATGACACAGAGGATCAACTAGATTCTCCAACCTTAGTGGTAAACCCTATGAAAGAGCCAGAAAATGATCATTCTGAGCTAAACTCAGCACAAACGCTTTCCAGACTGTCCCTTCTCCCTGCAACTTTCATGGGCAATCAAACCACTGCAGTGTGCAATCACAACGCATTACTACCCCTTTCAATAGTGCCTTATTAAACTGGTGCAGAATTACAACCCATGTTGATATTTAACTGAAAAAGTAGTCTTCAGGACTTCTTATCACCAATCTTCAGGATGGCAGGTTTTCCACTCCTTGAAAAATATGTACAATGACCTCATTGGAGAGAGATTTCTTAATTCTTTTTAGTATTTTTTTTTCTGGTTTATCGATCTTTAGTAAGATTCTCCCAAATAAAATCCTTGCTACTACATTTGAAATCCTATTTCTGTCTTTGCTATTTCACAGATGAAAACATTTCAATTGCACTGGCCTAGTTCCTGAACTATTGCTATGATAAAATATTAAAAATGCTTCAAAAACAGAGGAAGTCAAAAAAGGTGTTCTACAGCAATAGAACAGTTGTATTCATGGTGAGTGGTATTTAATCAGTAGAATTGATTAAATGATGAAACTTGAACATCCAATTTTAAATAGAAGTAATCATAATTATGTTGGGATTTTTGATGGTTTTTGTTTGCTTGCTTTAGTTTGATTTAATGAGAAAAATAACAGCAGGGCCAACTTCTAAGGCTTCAGCTTTCTTACTGCAAGTTTTGTAAATAGAACCAAATCAATTCTATTTCTACTACTAAGACACTCCATATAACATCTAACCTCAATGAAATGTAATACATTTGATACTTATAAATGTGTCTGCTGCCAACAATTTTTTTTTTTTTTTTTTGCATAAATTGCAGATCAGTAAAAAGAAGAATAAGAATATAGAGGAGATTGTGTTGATTTTCCTCTTAGTTACTTCTTCAAATACAGAACAACACATGCTCCAGCTTGCAAATAGGAACTATTCTGAAGTCTATTTCTAGGCAAGATTCAGTCTAGATGCATTTTAACATAAATTCACGACCTTTTCATTCTGAGATATGTTGAAACTCTTGTTTGATCCACAGAGGCTCTTAGAAAGTCTTCTGGGAAAAATGCTGAAAATGTTTTTACGAATGCAGCAATGTTACTTGGCCACACTGATTCCCAATCTACCTAAAGATAGAATCATAGAAACATAGACTCACCAAGGTTGGAAAAGTCCTCTAAGGTTATCCAGTCCAACCATCCACCTTTCACCAATATTTCCCACTAAACCATGTCCCTCAGTACAACATCTAAACATTTCTTGAACACCTCCAGGGTCTGTGACTCCACCACCTCCCCGGGCAGCCTGCTCCAGCACCTGACCACTCTCTCAGAGAAGAAGTATTTCCTACCATCCAATATGAATCTCCCCTGGTGCAACTTGAGCCCATAATGCCACTATACGTGGATCACCTGGATCTCTTCAAGCCACGACCTGGGCTTTTCAGTGCCGATACTGCCACCTGGGGTCTGTAGAGCTGAGGCTCATTCCAGTTTTCAACTGGAAGAGCTCATTAAATTTGGTTGTTCCTGAATTACAAGGGTGTGTGAAAGAAAGGAACCGGGTGCTGGAATCAGATGCTGCACAATCCAAAATATACCTTGTTCAAGAGCATTTCCAAAGCACTCTAAATAACACTCAATTCATCATTACATTTGGAATTTAAAAAGAAAGAAGGAAAGAAAGAGAGAAACAGTAAGTGTATACGTATGTATATACAGAGAGAAAATATGCAGTTGATTTTGCCACCATATTATCATGAGAATGATGCAGGTGTTACTCACATAAAGAAACAATGGCTCTGGATGCAGAGAGTTGTAAATGCTGAGGAGGAGAGAACATGAGAGGTAGAGGAAAGCAGTGAGGGACCTTGACATCAGAGCCAACTGCTTTGGTTCCTATTCTCAAATCCTTTTGATTTGAGGAATACAACTGATGGCATATGGAGAGGTCATTCTGTGTTAGTGTCTCAAAAAGACTACTGTCAGACTTTTCCCTTCAACATTCAAGTACTACAGAAATTGTGAAGCTGCCCTTGCTGTGATTCAGAGCCTGACAACCGAAATCTAAGTGTTTAGGATGAGTTCATCACCAGTTGTCAGAAATTAATTCCACATCCCAAATTGCACTCATGGCATACACAGGCTGAGGAGCAACTAGGATCAGTCCTCTCACTGTGAGCCTTT